CCTCTCCCAGATGAATCAGTTCCCTTTAAACAACCTTCCTGGAAATCCCATACATTTGTGCTTACATTTAATGGGTCAGAATTTAGACAAATGATCCCACCTAGTTGTAAAAGAGGCTGGGAAATGTTATCTTTATTCTGGATAGCCATGAGGCTGCCTAAAAACTGAGGTTTTGTGAGTAAGGAGGAGAGGAAAACGGATCTAGAGGATGAACACACAAGAGCCTCTGCCACACCTGATGCTTAATTGTAACCCTGGGACCATCAAAATGATTAATCAGGGTGAGCTTTCCCTGCATGTGACAGTCCCCCTCAAATCCAGGAGTTGCAGCACTTGTGCAGCTGTCTTGTTCTCCTTTGTTGTTGTTGTCACTCCTTTGGTTATCTGACACTCCGCCACGAAGTCCACGTGTCTAACGGATATCTCGGACTCAACATGTGCAACCCTGGCCTCCTCTAAACCTGCTCCCCCTGCAGCCTTCCCATCACAGGCAATGGGCACGCCAGCTTTCCCGGTGCTCAGGCCAGAAACATTGCAGATCCGGAAATCAACCACTCTCCGCTCCCCCACCCGCCTTGTCCAAGCCTCCATCTTCTCTACCCGGATGACTGCGGTCACCCCCAAATAGCCTTCTACACCTGCTTCTAACCTTATCCCCACCAAACTCTATTTTTAACTCAGCAGCCAAAGTGATCTTAGTTCAATGCAAGTTATATCGTTTCCTTCCACCCAAATGCCTGCAGTGGCTCTTTACTTGTCTCAGAGGAAAAACCAAAATCTTTATAACGACCGGCAGGCGGTACACGACCTGGTCTCTCACTGCGTCTCTAACTCTTCCCCTCTCCCACTGCACGTGGACCTCACAGTTTGCTCCCCGCTGCAGGCCGTGACTCCAGCTGTTTCCTCTGGAGCGCTCTTCTCCCAGAGAGCAGCACGGCTTTCTCCTTCCCACCTTCAAGTCTCGGTTCAAATCTCACCTCTTACCCCGATGACCTTACCAGCCCCACCCTCAAAGACTCTCCGATTCCCACTATTCTGCTCTGCTTTTCCTGCTTTCCATGCATTTACCAATTTCTGAGATGCTGTACAATCTTTTCCAGAGTTAAAGTACTATTATGTTCATTGTTTATTCTCCGTCTCTCCCCATCCCTGCCTCCACTAGTCCTTGTCTGTTTCGTTCACTGGTGTATTCCAAGCATGAGCCTGGAACACAGTAAGTGCTCGATATATTTGTTGAATGAAATTGAGTAATTTGTTCAGTGACTTATTTTGCAAATTAATAGAAAGCGCTTTCTCTGTGCAAGACACAGAGCTGAATGGATACAACAGGAATGAGGCAGGCTCCCTACCCACGTGTAGCTTATAATCTAGTAAGCAGAAAAGGAAGGTCATAGATAACTCACACACCTCAACAGGACTCACGACGTGCAGAATGCCCAAGAAAGAGCCGAGGACTCAGAGGAGAGCAAGTCCACCTCTGACGGGAATCACTCCAGGTGGCTTCGTGGATGGAGTATTTGAAGTGGGCTTTGAAAGACCAGTTTTAGTTTGATAAGTAAACAGAGAGAAAGAGGTGTTTGAGGCTAATAAACCACCTTGGAAGGCAAAAGAAGAGGACATTTTCATATAGTAATAGTTTAATAATTATGTCAATACTAAATTATAGTCTTATTAATATGGTATCGTTTATTTGGACTATAAGAGTTTTGTAGGAGGCAAGAGGTAAAGGTGTTCAATTATCTCAAATATGTGAGAACAGAAGGATAGTTGGGAAAATTTTCAGAGAGCATTGAATGCTGAGCTAAGGAGTTGAGTCTAATTTATCTGACAGGGAACTTTGTGAGGTTTGGAGCAGGGCTTGGGGGAAGGCAGGTAGCATGATCATACTGAAGTTGGTGAGCTCCCTGATGGCAGCAATTTTGTCTTATCCATCTTTGAATCCCCAGAGCCCACCATAGCACCTGACATATTGGCAGGTGCTCAATAAATATTGGTTTATATTTCAATCAGTGATTAGGCAGATGATAGAAAATGTTGTCAAATAAACAAGTCACATTCTGGCAGCTGTAGGAGGGATGGATGGAAAGAAAGAGCATTAGGGAGGATAAGAAAGCGCTGAAATAGTGTCACTTCAATGAAAGGAAGGGATGGGTATGAGTGATGCCATGTTGGAAGAGCCAGCAGTCTCAGAGACTGAGCAGATGTGAGGGTTGAGAGTGGCTGAAAGATAAGTTCTCCTCCAAGACAATCTCAATCTACTCAACTCGTAACATAAACTACAGGATTTTTCACAGTGAAACCAAATTTGGAGGTATACGTGTAGATTCCACTGTGGGTTTAGAAACTAACATCTAATTAAAACAATCAACCATAGACTTTAAAGCAGCAACTACAGATGATTTTTGGAAAATTAAGTATAACTGCAGGCATTCTTCAGTTTATAAATTTCAGGCTTCTGAATGCCTGGATGCGGCTGCACAGAGGAAATCCTTGGGAGGCAGCAAGGGCCGTGTGCAAAGCTCAGGTCTTGACAACTGGCAGACGTGGGTTTAAGGCCTTCCTCAGGCACCCACTAGCCGTGTGGCCTCTCAGAGAAACCTGCAATTGTGTTATCTACGGGTCAATGATAAAAACAGTGGAGAGTTACGTGAATTAAATGAGATCGTGCAGAGTGTCTGGCACGAAGGAGGTGTTTCATGAACGTTGTCCCCCTCCGTGTGCGGCTCTTCTCTCCTTATTCTCTGAACACACTGGAGTGGCCTACTTGCAACACAGTTCTGGCCAAACATACTGTCTTTATAACGCCTGCTTCTCAAACGGTGGTGTTTGTAATCGTGAGCGCTTTTGTCTCTTCTCTGTGCTGACTTCCACGCCACTCAATTTCTTTCCATTTCCTAGTGCTCATTACCAATTATGGTTTCACCAGCCAATTTCCCAAGTATCCTTTTATTCTGTCTTCAGAAAGATTATTAATGAAGATGTTAAGGCAGGCTGACATAGCTAACAACGCTCATGGCAACCTTCCAGACACTTTAGTTCCACTCAACAGGGACATGGTGTCATTTATCATTAGGTCTTGTTACAGTTTTCCGGCCCCTTGAAAAACTCACATGAGGACACTCGTGTCCACATCTACTCGAATTAGTCTTGCGAGGGAACACTCATGAGTGACTGAATTAAATGTCACTGTAGGATAGAACATCTGTTACATCATACTAACCTATCACTCTCTGCTCTCATAAATCTTTACAATCAAAACAAATTAGTCTAGCATGTTATTCCCAATAAACATTCTCTTTTGTTGTGTGTGGCTCATGCCCAAAAGGAGAAAACAGACCAGTTGAGAAAAGTAACAAAATCTCATCACAGGTTCAAACACTGTCAAGTGGTGAATAAAGAATAACGACTCTGGCAAGGAGAGGAATGAAAAGCAACAGAACATCCTATACAGAGGATCAGTGTAAGACTCCACTCACGATACTGGTTCTACAAAGTCCTACAGAGCAATCGTTGTCTGGTTTTAGAACCAAGAATAGTTGCAGTTTTCTTGAACTTGCTTTTTTCCTAGTGGACCCTGGATTGTGTCACTCATGGGGGTTCTCTTTTCTCATTTGCTGAAACGGTTGAGCATTGTATGGGTGGCTAAGACACAGTAGGGGCATAATGATGGAACGGTTTTCAGTCTCTATCCTGGCTCCGTTTAGTCTCCATATTGTTTTCCTTGCTTCTTCCTCTCACTTTTTTTAATTGTGGCAAAATATAATAATATGAAATTTACCATCTTAACCATTTTTAAGTGTACAATTCAGCAGTATTAAGTACATCTCATTTTTGTGCAATCATCACCACCATCCATCTCCAGAACTCTGTTCATCTTGCAGAACTGAAACTCTGTAGCCATTGAATAATAACTCCCTATTCCCCTTTCCCTTGGCAAACACAATCCTTCCGTCTCCATGAATTTGACTACTCTAGGTACCTCATACAAGCAGAATCACACGATTTCCCCTCACTTTTAATGAATGTTATCTTCCTGTATTTCTTTAAGTTTATAACCCGCCTTGAAACAAAATGGAGAATGAATATACAAACAAATAATAAAATACGGCAAGAAAGATTTCCTGGGGACTTGAGGAGTTCTATTCTAGACATGTGAAGTCAGTGGTGAGGCCATAACATTTGCTGATTAGAACAAATACAATGGATTATAAGAAACATCCATTATCTACAGGGTTAGCTGATGTTGAGACAAGCAGAATATGTGAGAGAATAGTAAGGTCAAAGGAGAGACTGACATAGTAGAGGTTCCCAGGAGGGAGGAAACATCAAGAGAATCGAACAAGGAGGCAATAGTAGATTCAAATTCAGACTTAATGGGCTCAATGCCAAAATGCTGGGCATGAAGGTTGTTGACAGAGCTGCTTCCACGGCAGTGGTCTCAAACTTTGGTGTACATAAGAGTTAATCACCACAGACCTACCAAATCAAAACTGTATTGACTGGAACTCAGGAGTCTGACTGTGTCACCAGGGGCCCAGGTGTTTCAGACACAGAGGGATTGAAGAAACAAGGGTCAGTACAGTAGATCACACAGGGGTTGTGCAGCCTGCTGCTCGGTCGAGAGTCTAATCTTGGCTTAGGTTATGCACGTAGCCCCACGGCGTCCATTGCTACCGATTTTCTTTCTTCTACATTGAGTGTTGCCTGAACGGGCTCTCAAAAACAGGGGCAGAGGCAGGAGTGAATGATGCTGCAAAGAGACCCTCATTCAACCGTCCAGTGGAGGGTCAGCCAGGGCCTTACTGCCCTCCCACTATCATCATGGCCTTGAGAAGAGGCCTGGGCTGCTTTAGTTTGTGTTTCTCTTCTGGTCTGCCTCTGTGTCATCAGGTATAAACTGGCTGGAAGGAAAATATTGGCCTCAGTGGAGCTGTGTGCAGCGTGAAAGATCAGTGTCCGGCTTTTCCCTCGTTTGTAGCTTTAATTTTGTTTCTTTTCAGAACATGTCCGTGCTGGAGAATCACCACTGGCGATCTACAATTGGCATGCTTCGAGAATCAAGGCTTCTTGCTCACTTGCCAAAGGAAATGACGTAAGTGGCACAGAGATGCAGCACGCTGATGTTCACACATTAAAGATAAGCCGGTTTCTCGAGGGCACGCTTGAGACCCCCCAGGTTAATGGCGGGGAGCCAGCCGACTGTGCCTCCTGCCTGCACTCGCTTGTCTATCAGAGGAGATTCGGTGTCAGTTACTGCAGCCCAGAAACCAGGCTTTCTCTGGGGCTCTGAGAGGGCTGTGGACCGGCCGTGACCTGACGTCGGGAAGAGGGGCAACACAGCTCTCAGCTTTCACAGCCCAGCATCAGCGCTCTGCTTTGCCAAGTCCTGTCTTTTTCGTCAGCAAGATTGTCCTCCGGTGTAGATCCAAATATAAATATTTATCAAGAAGGAACACAGGAGCTCTCAAGTTAGATTTAAGACGAGTTCAATAAAGCGTGTTTTATAATTGCCAGTCTTGGCAAGAGTAGAAGTCAAAAATTCTTTTCTAAAATGTCTTTTGTTAAGTAATTGAATTGTCCCTGGCAATTTTGTCACCGTTAATTTACCTATGTCTCTTGCATTTTAAATAGGAGGGGAAATACTAGTTTCCTGGCCCCCTGTTTGTTAGCCCGGATAGTTAGACTGCATGCTACTAAATCCAAGACCATGGCCTCATTTTCCACATGGCCCCAGCTTAGCTGCTGTAGGGTCTTCCAACGCCAACACTAATTCTGATCTGTTTAATTAAAATGCACAGAACCTGAGGTAACTAGGAGAGAAGATGTAAATAGAAGGCTGTCTCCTTCTTATTGGAGGGCACATAACTGAAGGTCAAGAAGGTGTTTCTCCGTAGAACAAGCAGTATGCTCTGGGCTCGTAGGTTTATTTCTGGCCCTCTGATCCTATCTTGTGCTGTTTCCTAGCACCCAGAAGAATGTGGAAATTGCAGGAGGAACTTCAGTTCTGATAACTTTTTACCCCTTGGAACTAAATAAAACCAATCCTCATGCGTGGAATAAAAACTCATGCCTTTCACTAGAACAATAAATTGCAAAGATAGAATTAAATGCAAAAAGAACTAAAAACTAGAGCAAGAAATCAAGTAAGAAGAAGAAGAAAAGAGAAGGTGAGTAGCAGAGACAGCTAAAGAAAGAAAGAAGGAGAAGGAAGGAAGGAGAGGGAGGACAGGAGAGAAGAAATGAGGGAGGAACCAGACCAGCCCGGCCCTTGTGATGCCCACCGTAATCCTGCTGGTTGCTCCATTAGTTCTCAATTCCTAAGATACTCCTACCCATCCCTACGGATTCCAAATACAAACAGCATGTTTTTTATGTCTTTGTGAGATGCAGTGTTATAAAGTGCTTTTGCTAGAAGAATAATTGTTGTGCAATAATATATGTGAAAGGACTTTATAATGAAAGTTATCATCATAATCATCATGATTATTCCTTCCATCCTCATGTAAATGCTTTAAAATCATGGTTCTGATTTTAAAGGAAGACAGGTTAACTGTACAAACTAAGGAAAATTTAGAAAAGTATTTATTCATTTGAACCACATGAAATTTCTGTTTTTGAGGGTCCAAAACAGTAGAACAGCAGCATTTTCATATGATTCAACTTGGTATGCTGAAAACTAAAATCACTGGTAATGCTGCTTTCTAGGGCTAGTTAATGTCAACTGGCTGATATATTTCCTTTTATTCTTTTTTCAATACAACCATATTTTAACAAAATGGGGGAGCTTATTTTGTATGGTTTATGTCTTGATATTTTTCACTTACTGTGAAGGTCTTCCATATCATTAACCTGCTACTAAAATAAAATTATTTTAATGGCTATAAGGCATTATTGTACCAAAATGCATTAACTACTGCCTATTGTTTGAAATTTAGATGGTTTCCCAATTTTTGTCATTATAAATAATGCTTAACAAGCATTCTTAAAAATATGCTTTTATCCCAAACTCCGATATTCTATTTTCTCAGAAAATATTTGTGGGTAGAAATTATTGATCAGAAAGGTTTGAATTTTTAAGGTTCTTGCTGTATATTATCAAATTGCTTTTCCAAAAATCTGCATCTACCTGTATTCCCATTGGTGGGTTATGAGAAAATCTACCAGTGTACCGTCACCAAAATGGAGTTTTATCTCTATTATCTTTTTAAAATATTTGCAAATTTGACATATATACACATATATATGTAGAGAGAGAGAGAGAGATTCATTGATTACAACTGAGATTGAAAATTTTTCATATATTTACTGGCCATTGTTATTTCTTTAAGGAACATATTTTTGTGTTTGGTCTTTTCCTATCAATGTTGTTATTCACTTGTAAGAAGCCTTTGTATTTTAATTACAGCAACCATTTGTTTTATGTTGTAAATATTATTTGAAATTTTTAGTTTGCCTTTTAATTTGATTCATGAAACATTTCACCTAACTTAAAATAGTTATATTTTCTGGTTATAAATTTAATATACATATTTTTAAAGAATTTATATAATATTGAGGATTATAAAAAAGAAAGTGAAAATCATCCATAATCCCACTTTATATCTTTCCAAATTCTTTGCTATGACCATAAAGATCAGGCCTTTCATATTTTGTATCCTACTTTTTAATATAGCAATAAAACATGATATTTTTCCATGTCAATAAATACAGCTAAACGTTATCATATTTAATAATTGCAAGTGTGCATGAAACATGATTTATTTAAGCAATCTCCTATTTATGAATTCTCGTGATTTTTTCCTCCCCAAAATGTTTCATTATCATAAACAATAGGATAAACATCCTTATAACATATATCTTTACTAATTACATCTTTACTAACATGTTCATATAAATTTGTAGATGAACTGTTGGTCAAATTATTTATATTCATTAAATGCTTTTAATGTTAATTCCTAAATCACCCTCCAGAAGCATCATACTAATTTACACTCTCACTAACAGAGATTAAGGGGGACAATTTCCCCATACCATCAACAGCATTAGGTATCACAATCATTAATTAATTTAGCAAATTATTTAGTGGTTACTTTTAATCTTTGCCAATAAAAATGAGGAAATAGTATCACCCAGCTATTTTAATTTGCTTTTTGTTTTTTTTGTTTGTTTGTTTTTAAGATTTTATTTATTTTATTTTCCCCCCAAAGCCCCAGTGGATAGTTGTGTGTCGTAGCTGCACATCCTTCTAGTTGCTGTATGTGGGACTCGGCCTCAGGATGAACGGAGAAGTGGTGCCTCGATGCGTACCCGGGATCCGAACCCGGGCCACCAGCATCGCAGCGCGCGCACTTAACCACCAAGCCACAGGGCCGGCCCTAATTTGCTTTTTGTTATACTAAGATTATTTAATATCATTTCATATTTTAGAGGCATTTTGTATTTCTTTTGTGAATTGCCTATTTTCTGTGATTATTTCTAATGTTCAAAAGTGGATTAAATTTATATATGGCTTAGAAACCAAAATGCAAATGGTGAAACTATACAGCTTTTAGAATATAATGTAGGGGAATATTTTCATCAGAGGTGGGAAGGATTTCTTAGATGAAAAAAATTCACCACAAATAAAAAGATTTATAGATTAAGCTATATTAAAAATTAAGACTTCCTTTCATCAAAAGACATAAAGAAAGTGGAAAGACAGGCCACAGAGTAGAAGATATTTGCAACACATAACTGACAAAGGTCTATTATTGAAAATATATAAAAACTCTTAGAATTAATAAGCAAAAGAGAGATGACCCAATAAAATAATAGATAAACACTAGAATAGAAACTTTACGGGGCCAGCCCAGTGGCATAGTGGTTAAGTTCAGGTGTTCCACTTCAGAGGCCCAGGGTTTGCTGGTTCGGATCCTGGGCGTGGACTTGCTGCTCATCAAGCCATGCTGAGGTGGCGTCCCATACAGAGGAGCTAGAACTCTACAATTAGGCTACACAACTACCTGCTGGGGCTTTGGGGAGAAAAAAGAAAAAGAGGAAGATTGGCAACAGATGTTAGCACAGGGCCTATCTTCCCAAAAAAGAAAAGAGAATACTAAATATTTTTTTTTAAAAAAAAGAAACTTCACAAAAGAGGAACTACAAATGGCCAATAAATACACGAAAATATGTCCAATCTCATTAGTACTCAAGGAAATTCATATTAAAACCACAATGAGTTGCATGACATACCCCTCAGGTGGGCAAAAAATATAAAAAGTAAGAATGTAAAGCAATGAGAATTTCATCTGTTACTGCTTAGAGTATAAATTTATACAATTGTTTTGGAAATAATTGACAATATCTAGGAAATTGAAGATGAACATACTTTGTGATCTAATAATTTTATTCCTGGATATAGACCCTAGAGAAACTTTGCACACATGTAACTGTACATAAGAGTGTTTACAGTGGCATTTTTTCATAGTAGTCAAAAACTAGAAACAATTCAAGTAACCGTTACAAGCAGAGTGGATAACTACGTTGCAGTATATTCCTACAATGGGATATGATATAATAATGAAAATGGATGAACTACAGCTCACACATCAACATGGATGACTTTCAAAAATATAATGTTAAGCTAAAGAAGCAAACCATAAACAAATACTTACCATGTAACCTGAAGTTCAAGAGCAGTTAAAATTAAACTATATTATCTAAACCTCCACACATAGGTGATAAAATTATTATAAGTAGCAAGGAAATTATTGAAACAAAGATCAAGAGAGTGATTACTTAGGGGTTGGGAGAAGAGGGATGTGACGAGAGACACAATGGGGCCTTCTGGGGTATTGACAGGCAATGTTCCTCACCTGGGTGGGGATTATAAGATGTTTATTTTATATTTATTCATTAAACTGTATATGTACGCTCTACGCACTCTACTTAAGTACATTTCACTGCTAAAGGTGAATTTTAGAAATAATTATGAATTTTCCTTCCATTGATGAATTTCTATATGTCAGATAAAACTCTAATTTGCTTTATTTTTCCAAAATACCCCATTTTCCCTCTACCATTTGTTGACTAATATATTGCTTGCCCACTGGTTTTTAGTGGTGCCTTAATCAACTATTATTCTTTTTTAAGTTCCAATATCCCTTTCCGGCCTGTTTGCTTTGTTCCACTGATGGATCTTTCCATTCCACAGTATCAGTCACGATAGTGTCTTCATTGTTATTACTATTATTCTGTCCTTTTCTCTCCCTGTGCAAATCATAATGTTTGAGCTGGTTTGAACTTTCTTAAAGCACAACCCATGAGTCTGTGAGTCATTCTGTGTCCTCCTTAAAGCATACCTTTCTAGTTGGCTTTCAATTTTGCCACCCATTGGAACCATGGGAATGTATAAACTCCCACCACTTTGTTCGCCCAAGGTTTCAATCACTCTCTGCTGTTTTGGCAAACCTCCTGTCCACGGACGGGAGTGATGGTGGGCGAGAAAATCCCTCTTGGGCTGTGAGGGACTCTGTGTAATAAACAGAATCAAGGGCAGAAATGTGACTCCAGCCACCTGAGGGTGACAGAATCAATCACCCCTCTCCAAGGGATTTGCTTTGTGTTTGTGTTCTCTTTCGTTCTTGTGGATGCAGACAGGATATCGAACAGCAGCTGGGCTCCCTGATCTTGGCAACAGACATCAACAGGCAGAACGAGTTTCTGACCCGACTGAGAACTCACCTCCACGATAAAGATTTAAGACTGGAGGATGGACACGACAGGCACTTTATGCTCCAGGTAAACAGCAACAGCAAAAGCCATTATCCTTGCTGGGTGAAGACACTGAGGGACACGATCAATAGTTTTAGCACTTTTGAGAAGGAGCGTCTGCCACGGTGTAAGTTAGAGCAGTGACCTACTTTATGAAAAGCTTTGAGACACATGAAATTTTTAAGTGGTTTCCAAGCAAACAAAATCCGAGTTTCACGTCAGTGAGTTGATAACATCTCCTTTTCCTTGTTTGGTAACTGCTTCACCACAGAGTGGCCCTGCTGGGCAGTGGCAGATGGCAAGGATCTACCCCACTTTGTGGCTTGATGTAAAAGTGACCACTGTGGTACCTGCGCGATTTAGAAAGATGTTTCTATAACACAAAAGTATACCATGTTAACTATAGTACAAACAAAAGTTGAAAAACAAGTAGCCTTTCTTTACCTAAAACCTATTTAATCAAACCCTGCTTTACTTCCTTTTACTGCTTAAGCTCATTTTTATCTGAGGCTCAAACATGTTTACCTAGTCTTCCCATTTTTAGGCACCAATAAATAAATTATTTTAAGTTTAATGGAATCGTATCAAGCCCAACCCTTTCTGCTTTATTCCATGGCGAGAAGCCATGTGTGACATGAGAACAAGAGGAGTGGACCTTGGAAGTAGAAATCTGACCTAGTATCCAAACCAGAGTTTTTTCCTTGATCTTCCATTTTCTCCTGTCTTCCTTCTTTCCTTTTGGTGAAAAAGACTGAAAGGATGGACCCTGGACTCATCAGGATAGACCAACTCTAACCGGGGAGATAGAGCTGTGCACGGGAGACTGAACTGTACAGTCTTTTTTGCTCTCTGTAGTGTCCAAAGTGCTCCATCCTTCCAAGGAAATACCCCCCTTCCAGGCCTAGAACTCTCTCTCCTTCCTCTTTCTTCCCAAACTAGACTTCTAGTCCCTGAGTGCCACAAAGATTAGCCCGGTATCTGATTTTAGCGACGCAAACCAAGTCCTGAGTAGCTGAAAGATTGGCCTGAATACTTGCATTTCAAAAGCAGAGCTTGCAGACACAGATGAACCCCTACAAGGCAGAACCTGGAGGGGACTTCTGCCCCCGACTGACTCCAACATGTACCCATGCCCCCATTCACCTGGAAATCAACAACCAAATTTGCCCCTGAGTAGGGTCCAGGCTCTCCCCGCCCCCAGCTCTGTTAGCATCTCTCTGACCCAAGAACTGGGTCAACGCAGACAGACCCTGCTGGTGCGCAGGGCCCACCGCTAGGGGCCCACCCGGCAGCCGCCTCTTGGCAGCTGGTGGTTAGGGCAGAGCATCTACTTTTCTGGGAATTCGAGCTCAACCTCCTACGGTCAGCACTGCTGACAAAGGCCGGCATCCCAGACCCAGAGCAGTGTGAGGCAAGCTTGGATTTAGCTCTGCGAACACACTCCTCGGTTTGACACAACGGAGCTCCCGGGCTGGCACCCGGAGCTTGCTTACACTCTGACACGGGCACGTAAACACAACACACAGCATTTAAGCGATGTGTGGGGTCGGTCAGTGTGGCCGCTGTGGGAATCAGTCCAAATGATCTCATCTGAGCCTGGCTGGGGCCCCACGAGGGGCGGGGCAGCAGCAGGAGCCAGGCCGCGGCTTTCCTTGGCCTGCCCACCCCAAGTCTCCTCCAGGAAGCTCCGTGTCCTTGGACGGTGACTCTTCTCTCCCTCTCCCTGCTATAAAGTGAGTTCTGAATGAAGGTTTTGTGTGGTGGTGAATAAGTGCTGTTTCCTGAAGAGGCCCTCTGTAAATGCGGGCCTGGCAGCATGAGGCGGGCTGGCGGGTCCCAGCGCCCTGGGCCTGGGGTGCTGTCCGCTGCTGACCACCTCTCCTGCCCTGTCGTTTCTCAGATTGCCTTGAAGTGTGCTGACATCTGCAATCCGTGTCGAGTCTGGGAGATGAGCAAGCAGTGGAGCGAAAGAGTCTGTGAGGAATTCTACAGGCAAGGTTAGTGATGCGACGGCGGCGTTTCCAGGGCCCCTCTCCTCTCGGGTGTTTATCCTAATAAAGCAGGAGATGGCTAATCTATCATGACGTTTGTTCTTTCCTCGACTCTCATTGTCCTTACCTTCCTCTTTAACTCTCTTGCAAACCACCAACACTTTTCTGGAAATAATTTAAAAAGTAATAGCATTGACTTACACAGAAATAGGTAGTCATGAGGTGCAATAAAAATGAGCAAAAGTGGAATATATGCATTTTTTTTAATGGCTTTCCTCTGTGGATATAAGAATGTGAGGGACAGTTTGGTTCTTTACACTGACCTTCATTTTAATGAGGTGAGCGCAGCCTCAAGGCTAAATGCCGTTTGGGGTCGATGTTTTCCACTCTTGACAGAAGGATGTAGACTCCTCCCTTCCCCTCGCTTTCTTAAATAAAGTTAATAATGAAATAGAGCACAGCTAGCCAAAAATTGAGTTCACCTTCTCAAATATATACAGTGAAAAGACCCATGGCCCCAAGGTAGTGTGTAATTTTTAAGAGATCAACCTCGTTTGGAAATAAGGCAACGACTCAGCAGCAAGAGCCTGACGCGGGGAGGGATGCCAGCCTTCACACGCATCCTCGCCTCTTCAGCCGGGTTTCGGGGCTCAGGATGTTGGCTCAGGCACAACAGTGCCCCGACGTTAGCCACAGGATCAGGTTTGAGAGGCTGAGAACAAATAAGGCCTGAAGTGTCTCACATACCAGCTCCGTGGGGAGGTCGCACAGCAACAGTGAGCCTTTGGGAGAGGCCTCCATGGAAAGATGTGGCAGTGACATCGAGATGGTCCCAGAGACAGGAGACAAAGCAGAATGAGTGGGTTCATGTGGGGCCGGAAGGCTCTGCTCACCATCTCTTTCCCTCGCGGTAAAGGAGCTGGTGTGGCTCCCACAGCCCTGCGATCTCCCTTCAAGAGAGAGTGAGTGGTTAGAGATCAAGAGATCAGTCCCAGTTGCCCATGATGTAGAATCTCCACCAAGGAAAATGCGAAATGAACTATGATGAAACTGGAGCAGGGAGGTTTTAGATTAGATGAGATAAATACTGTACTGTGTGGGGCCGGCCCCGTGGCTTGGTGGTTGGGTGAGCGCGCTCCGCTGCTGGCGACCCGGGTTCGGATCCCGGGCTCGCACCGACGCGCTGCTACTCCGGCCATGCTGAGGCCGCGTCCCACATACAGCAGCTGGAGGGATGTGCAGCTATGGCACACAACTATCTACTGGGGCTTTGGAGGGAAAAATAAATAAATAAAATCTTAAAAAAAAAAAAAAAATACTGTACTGTGTGACAGAGAAAAGATTGACCCAGCACAGTGAGAGCAGGGCCAGGATCTCCATCCTGAGAAAGTAAACCACGGACACAGAGAAGACCCTACTCTGTCCCTCTTGGTTTCGACTCAGCCACGTTCTGCTGTTGGCACAGACTTCAGTTTAACACTTTCATGTGCTTATCTTGCACCTCATCTAGATTACGAGCTACTTGGGGCAGGGACCATGTCACCTGGGCGGATCATGAGGCCCACAGGGTTGGTGAGTTAAAGTTAACTAATTGGAGGAAATGGGATCAACCAAGAAAGGTACATCAGTACCTCTTTGTGAAAACTGGTTGTTGTCCTAATAATATACACATGTGCAGTACTGTAAGCTGGAACAATCTAGAACATTTGTGACTCGGATCACTAAAGGTAAGCTTCCATGCACTTTGCTCTGGCATGTCTCCTGGCAGAGGAAGGAGAATAGAGAGTTCGTGTCAGGTCCTTTTTATTTAGTAGCATTACAGTCTAGCAGACGTTCGGCCCATTTAAGAGGAGAAGATCAGACTCTCTGTGCATCCAAACTGCCTGTCCTCCATATTGAATTAATTTTTTCAAAAATTCTATAAGCATGACTTTTGTATGATTTTGATTAATCTTATTCTGGGTTTCAGTTTAGGATTTGGTCTTCCACAGACTGCTAATAGTCCCAGCCACAATATCTTTAATGATTTGTGATATTGAGCAAAGGAAAACCCCTAAAGTCACGGTTAAGAACACAGGGGAAGAGGAAGATGGGATCCTATGAATTAGGAAAACAGTGTTAAATTCTCAGAACAGAGGTTAGGATTCTAAACATCATTCACTCCCCTCCCCTCAATGCCTTAAGGAAGTAGAATTTCTGTCCTATTGTAACTACAGTTTGGTATCTTCTCAATCAACCAAAGTTCCCAGAGTTTTTATTGAACGTCTGCTTCCAGCTTTGTCTAATCCTCAGCAGAACTGTGATTTTCCTGTGTCCAAAGCCCCATTGGGGATGTCATGAAGGATACAGAGAAGTATAGTTAATGTTTCATAACTTTAAAATGCTAATCAGTAAAGTTCCTAGAGGAGGGAAACTGAGCAGTTTTCCTCCTTGTATTCTCTACGTTGATTAACAAAGTGTCTGCAATGTACAGTGCTTTATAAATATATGTTGACTAAGTGAATGAAGGAATCATCTAATTGGAAGGCCACTCCAGCTGGAGGTCGTAGGAGAAGATCTAGTGCTGAGGAAGGTAGAATCCGAGCTGGCACTGGAGGACGCGCAGTTTCCAGTAGGACAGCTACAAGACACTGCGGCTAGTTAAATTTAAATTTATTTAATTAAATTAAATCTTAAATTTAGTTCCTCAGTTTTCCTGATCATATTTCAAGGGGCTGCTATAGTGGACAGTGCAGAGAACATTTCCATCACTGCAGACGGTCCTGTTGGACACCGCTGGTCTAGACAGGAATGGAAATGGACAGAGGCACTGAGGTGGGGACCACGGCCCTGCCTTGAGACCATCTTGGTCCCCGAGAAGGTTAGGATAAGAGGGTTTGTGGAGGCCCCTGTACACCAGGCTATAGCAGAGAACATGACAATGGGAGTCATCTTAGAAGATGCAATTAGGGCAACATACAAAATTGAAGTGAAAGAAATACTGAAGAAAACTAGCTAAGAAGCAAAAACTAAGAATGAGTTATTAAGAAACCAGACTAGAGTCAGGCAGAGTGAAAGTGGGGAAAAAAGGTATTTCAAGAGAGCAATAAGCAGGATTTGATATGGAGGGAGAGGGGAAGGGAGAAATCAAAGACGACTCTTCCAAAGCATCAAGCATGACTGGAAAGATGACTGTAACAGAACTGTGGAGGTGAGGAGTAGAGCCAGCTGTAGGAGAATTCATTTTAGTATTAAATGGCGTTATGCCCTGCCCTCAGAACATGATTATCATCCAGCTTCCCTGTACTCCTCAGGTGAAGCTGGAGTGATTTCCTCCCATCAGTCTTGAGAATCACCAGGGCACCATGGGAGCTGTGGCTACAGTCTTAGAGAAAATTACGGAAATGTGACGGCCCCAAGGTTCTCACTATAGACACTCCAGAGCAGACTTCCTAGGTTGGAAGGCAGGCTCCCTGCTCTACTAGCAGTGTGATCTTGGGTCAACATACTTCCCTCCTCTTCATCTCAATTCTCTCATCTGAGGATTGTAGTGAAGCTGTTATGAGGGTTAGATTAATTAACGTAGGTAAAATGCTTAGAACACTGCCTGCACACAGTAAGCACGATGTAAATGTTGTATTTGTATCTCCTCTAGTTTAGAGGAATGCATGCACAACTGTGAACCCAGCTAATGTCTCTGGGGACCAGCTTCTCTGCTGATTAGCCAGATTGTTTTTCCCCAACACAAAAATTATCCAAAATTTTTTGCCCTCAGGTAGAATTGATACAGTATTTTGGTAAAGCTTTGCTAATCTTCCTCACCAAAAAAGATATATATGTCATTCTGACCTCTATACTTTTTTTGGCAGGGTGGGTAGAGATTGGCCCTGAGCTAAGATCTGTTGCCAATCTTCCTCTTTTTGCTTGAGGAAGATTGGCCCTGAGCTAACATCTGTGCCAGTCTTCCTCTATTTTGTATGTGGGACGCCACCACAGCATGGCTTGACGAGCAGTGTGTAGGTCCACACCCAGGATCCAAACCCACAAACTCCAGGCTGCTGAAATGGAGCGCACAAACTTAACCACTACACCACAGGGCCAGCCCCTGACCTCTATGCTTTTTTTAACCTTCCATTACATTAGGTAAAATTCTAAGGCAACAGAATGAAGGACAGCAGACCCTCATTTCTGACTAATTGTGCAGCCACAGCCTGAGATGCTCTCAGATGGGATCTTCTCGTCCCTTTCTCCATTTCCTACCCAACCTATTATCCCTGGTGGTTCAGGTGAAACCAGACTAGGGTCCAGCAGAGTGAAAGGACCAGAAAAGCATAAAATCTGTTTTCTTAACCTATAACTTAAAGCCAGAACCTCCATTTCATGTTAGGAAGTTGCCCATTAGCTGAGCTCTTGTTTTTATAGATTTTCTTCAAAACTTCATCCTAGTCCCAGTGCACACCTATTTACAAGGAACCTATTGTAAAGTTGACACTCTGATGCTTTGAATTTTCATGGAAGCTACTAGAGCAAGTCGGTGCCAAAAGATTCCCAATGATAACAAGGCAGGGGCAGTAATTCCCAGCACAGCTTCTTCGAACCAGGTCGTTAAAACTTTCAACATGTATTTTTATAAATTCCAGATGACCAGTGTGTTTCTCCTTTCTTCTTAGGTGACCTTGAACAGAAATTTGAACTGGAAATCAGTCCTCTCTGTAATCAACAGAAAGATTCAATCCCTAGTATACAAATTGGTGAGTTGAATTCGATTTTAATTTTAAATGAATAGTTTTGGCACCTCTGCCACACACAGCTACACACACACAGCTTTTAAAAGATCCAAACTGGACGTTTAGTCAATGCCCCTGTGAATGGCTGAGTCCAGATAAACACTCTGATCATGACTAATCCACTAGGTAATTACCACTGAGAAACTGTGACAAATAGGGCAAAGGCTTTGTTTCAGACCCTTAACTAACCTGTATTAACTTCATAGTTCAGAATGGAATCAAACCAGGTAGAGAGAAGGGAAATCATAAGAATCAACTATTCACTGCTGAAGAGCGAGTTAGCTCACATTCTTTGGGACTGAAGGGTGGGAAGTCGGCAGAATCTGCCTTTAGGATCCTTCCAGTGTGGGTCACTACCCTTCATGCCCAACACACAATCCCAAGGGCTCAGACCCCGGGCCGTGCCCACCAGCCGTGCTGGGCCTTGTGGCCTGGGCCCCCGTGCCCCTAGTTCTCATTCTCTCGGGACTACACTCTCAAGCGTCCATGCAGTAAACTGCTAAAGGCGTATGAAGTAATTATCGCTTTAGTGAAGTCATGCCTAAGATCGTTAAGCACATCATACTGTGGAAATTTTAGGCACTTTAGTGGGGGAATATTTCTGGTGCGGGAAGAACTTCTATTGCTCCTTAAAACACTCTACCATTTCCATCTAGATTTAAAGCAAGTCTTTTTTTTCCTTGCAGTTCCCTCCAATTAAAACCAAACACAGAACTTCACCTCTTACTTACTTACTTACTAAGCTATGGCCCTGACATGCCCCAGTTCACGTTTCTCATCAGTTCCCACAGACCTCAGGCAGCTTAATGCGTTCACAGTGCTGAAGACCTCCGCAAGGCCGGGGGGGAAGGGGGCCCCCAAAAAGGTCAGCCGAAAATTAAGGAAATCAGAGCAAGTTAGAATGATATGCTTACAATCACCAAGGGTCAAACCTAATCCACAAAAGAGTCATAAAGTCATCCTGAGGAAAAACGGACAAAATTAATCTAGCTACAAAGATTTGAGTGGAATATAGACATATTAAAATAGGTACGTTGGAATTATGAGATTATGGATTGTCCATTTTTTTCCAAATTGTCTTTAATATTGTTATGTTGTTTTTACAATTAAACTGATTCCTCCACCTGAAAAAGGGAAGAGGGGGAGGTGTTATAAAAAATAGGACCCAGGAAGAATCCAGAGCAGATGAAGCTACAGAATTGCTGGGGGGTGGGGGAGGGGAGCAATATAACAGAAATGCTGCCTCGGCCTCTCTGGATCAGGATCAGGAGGCTCTGCAGAGGTGATATGAAGGGAATAGACTCTGACCAAAATCCTGACTCCGGGAACCAGCGTGTTAAGCTCCAGCTAGAATGCAATTTGCCCACCAGCTGTCAGAGACATTGTGAACCTCCACAGAAAAGCATTCACGTTGTAAGCACACAACCTGGATTTGCAAGACAGACCTGATTTCAGAGCTTCTGTCCTGTTGTTGTCATGAGAACACACTTATTTTGTCAGATCATATGTCCTGATTTTCAGCTCAGGAAAATGTGGTTACCATAGATACCTGTTTTTACACTGAGATGGGGATGCGTGCATAGGAAAATCTCGTGGTTGCTACACAGGTGCACCAATAACAAGGAGAAAGTGACGGTGATTCTCACACAACCCTTAGTGTAGAGATCTTTCCTGTCTCTGCTCGTCGTCTCCCAGCTCCAGGTTCGGGGCCTGGAGGTGTGGTGTACAGGCCTAGCTCGTATTGTTACGTTGTTTTTACAATTAAAATTGGAAAAATCTGAATAGTTAAATGGAATCTAATGGGAGCTGCAGCTTTAGCTTCCTGGACAAGGATTTTTCCGGGGGGTTCCTAAGTAATGCAGCTATTTCCTCTGTCCTGACTCCCCTGGGACTGAAAGCATCCTCCCTCTTTTTCCTGTCCCAGTCCATGGGGAGAATGCCTGAGTGCCGTCTCTGGTTTAGACCTGGTTTTCTGTCTGGTGATTCATATTTACCCAAGTGGAACGGGGACTTACTATCTCCCCTGCCCCCGTCCCTCCCTCTCACCATCAAACTCCTCATTTTAAAGAAGAAGATATAAATCAAATGATATCTAATTGGTGAAATCGACAGAAGGATGAGGAGAGAGTGGCTTTCATTCAACCCTGTTTGCTCCGAGGCCACCATTTGGCCCCACCCCACCCCACCCCTCCAGAACGACAATATCCGGGTTGAGTCAGTCCATCCTCAAGGGGCAGAGAGAGGTTGGCACAACTCGATGGCACCAGTGGGACAGGTTCCCAAACTAATTGTACAGAAGCTGTCCTTCGCTTGAAATAGCTTCAGCGTGTCTATTCAGACTTTAAAATGGCTTTCCTGTCTACTCTAAGAGGTCTTTACATCTGACCAGCAGAAATGTGGAGGTGCAATTCCAGAGTCACTTCAGGAAGAAAAGGAGTTGATTTTTAAGTATTGGATTTTAAAATATTGGATTTGTAATTTTTTTTTATGTTCAAGGTAAATTTGATAAGTATTCACACCTTAAACTTCAGAATAGTATAATTTTGCAAACTACCTTTTTAGATATCTAATCTCTTTTAAGGTGAAAGATATTAGAAATTAGATATGGAGATTGTGAAGGAGGTGAAGAAAATTCAAGAATGAAATCCTTACTTGCTGACTCCACGTATAACCTCATCGAAATGTAGACATAAAGTCGCTGGCTTAACTTTCTTCCTCAGGTTCAGGTTACATAAAGTGATCTTATAATATTTAAATCATGTTCACATAAGATGACGTAACGCAGAAATGTGCAATAACGTCTTGCTTTGCTGCGTCCTTTGCCCATCTCTAGAGGGTCCTCAAAGGTCAGGTATCTGCTGTCTGTCCAATAAAGGACAATCACATCAAGCCTCATATGGCACACACCTGTAAACATACAGGGTAGTTGCTGGAAGAGTTTCTTACATTGAAAAGCACTTGCCTTTTCTCCCCACACCTACATTTCAAGGAAATACAATAAACCCAAGTATGTCCAAGTTTGTGGTGATTCCAATAATTCCAGCCTAGACCCAAAGTTATCTTTGCTTTAACAAATCATGTTTAATACAGAAAGCATATTAACAGTGAAACATGCTTAGAAAGCAAGAAGTCTAAAATAATGGCGAGAACAGACATGCAAACAAAGTAGTCTAATATCAATAATCTCATCCAGTCATTAAAGCAGACTTTCATGCAGGTAAAAATCCATATTGAAGATCAAGGAACTTTTATTTACCTACACTTAGCTATCTAACATAACAGGAAGTAAGACAAAACTATGGAACGAAAATCCTGAGAGAATATCCTATGGGGTCAATGTAGGAACCCTTCAGAGGGTCTGAGTCAGTGACACACCCCTCCCTGATGTCATTTGCCCTTCCCCCTCCCCCACCCACCCTCCTTCATTCTAGCACCGACTGTTTTTTTACTTTTTTGTTTATATGTCTTTCTCCCTCCTCAAAGAATAACGGGCAATGTTTATTGTTTCTTATGTGTCAGGAGCTTCCTAAGCGTGCTACGTGGGTTAAGTCATTTCATTGTCCTAACAACCCTGTGGATTTGGTACTCTTCTTAGCTCCTGTTTGAAAAGGAGGAAACTGAGGCACAGTGAGGTTAAATGCTAAGACCAAGGTGACATATCTTACGCTCCCAAGCTGAGGGTGGGGACCCCATCTTGTTTGCCTTCATGTCCCCAGGCCGAGTGCGTGGTGGCCCCAGCCGTGTGTGGGGAGGAGCAGTGGTTTTTACCGTCCTTGCGGTGATGAGTTTGGCCTTCCTGTTCTAGGTTTCATGACCTACATCGTGGAGCCACTCTTCCAGGAGTGGGCCCGCTTCACCGGACACAGCGCCCTGTCGGAGAACATGCTCGGCCATCTTGCACACAACAAAGCCCAGTGGAAGAGCCTGTTGCCCAAGCCGCACAGAGGCAGCGGCGGTGGGGGGGGCGGGGGCAGCCCGGACCTCGCAGGCCAAGGGACTGAGAAGGAGGAGCAGACTGTGACCACAGGTGACACCCCCTAGTGCCAGCCAGGCCTGCCCCCGGCTCTGCACACTGAGACTGGGAACCTCCTCGAGCAGAGGCCCCCTGGGAGGGGAGAAACCCTGAGGGGTTCTTGCCATGAACCCAGCCACTCTCTGGGTCTCCTCCTGGGCCCTTTGGAATGCCGCCCTCCTCATACCTACCTGCCTCCCTCCTTTGTCCAAGTGTACAGAAGCCATTCGCCACCTCAGTCGCCACCTCAGCATTAGCTGCCGATTGAGCAAGTCCATCCAGTGACGTGGGAGCTGACCCCAGGGGCAGGCTCGCCCCACCAGGAGGAGATCAGGGAGTAGGAGAGGGGTGCTGCTGCCGTGTCCCCCACGGCCTGGGTCACACCGGGTCACCGCGGGACGGGCAGCAGCCCTCAGGCCAGATCGTCCTAGCGTCTGCCGTCTGACTGCTGATCTGCGTGACGAAAACACCAGCATATTTGGAACTCCAAGGATATTGGTCTTAAGTGCAAGAGCACAATGAGAGTGTGAGAGAAAGTACCTTCTATTTTAATAATAATTATTATTAAAAAAAATAATAAATCTTTTTAACTTTTCTATTGTATGCACTAGACAATGGATCTAAAACTCTGGACTAAGGTTACTCGGTGTACCCAAACCTGAACAGGGGGTTCATTGTTTTGTTACTGACTTTATGCCACTTTGGGGCAGAGCTCTGGCATCTTCTCAGTTCCAGAAACCCCGTTTCCCACCCGATCCGAGGGAAGGTGCTGTACAGTCCATTCCTTTGCACCGTTAGCCAATCTGTCTTTTACCAATAACTCAGATTCAGTGACATGTTTCTATTCACACATGTACATTTTCTGTAAATACCAGGCGCTACTGAGTCCCGTGCCGAAATACGTGAGTATTGTGGGATCGCTACCTGTATCAACAATGGCACTGTGAACAGATACTGTTAGTTTTAATACAAGAGAATGCATCTGTAAATATGGTATAGAGTTTATTAATATACGATTGTTTGCAGATAAAGGCCTTAACTTTAAACATCTTTCATCTTCTGAAAGCTGCCCAACTTTAAATCCTCACAGATTGTCCTTCTGAGCTGCCTTCCCATGTCCATCTTTCTGCTTTCCAGCTAAGGTCACAAACCAAAACTGAATAAAGTCTTTCTTTGAGGAAATATTTTGGAAACTTCACATGCATTCCGCTTGAGACCATAGTGTTTAACCTATGGCACCAAGCAGCGTTTCCTCAGACTAATGAGACCCTGCAGCCAGCTGGAACTCCCTTTTCAACACAGCGACGTTGCACACGGTTCTGACGAGTCAGCTGATAAGCTCGTGTTTGTGTGACTCTTGTCATCCAACGTGGCAGTGTGTCAACCTCGCAGGAGACGTAGCAGGTCTCACAAACCTTCTGTGACCGTGTCATCTAACCGTCAGGGAGCTTCCTGTACCCCTACCCCACTTCCGTCTGCTATGGCTACAGTACCAAAGCACCTTTGGCTTATGGTTGGCGTGCATTTCTTTGGTGTTAATAGTAACTGGATTTTTCTTTTTCCTTAATTTCATGTGAACAACTACCCAAGTGTTTAGCTGAAGTTAACATTATTTAAGTGAAGAAGATATTTCAGTTTTCTGACAGAATTGGCCTTCCTGGCAGGTCGTTGTGGTCAATTATGGCTCCAGAGTCAACTTGGAATTTTGTTGTCGTTATTTCTGCAGACACTTGGCCATAAAATCAGTTTGTTACAGCATGCTCCAGTCGGCTAAACTCTGTGCATTCAACCTTTTCTTTAGAAGTTCTAGCATAACTAATGTTAGATGAAAATTGGCAATGCCCTTTCTTTTTACCTTAAACAATATGGTAGCGGGAGAATGATACTATGATCGTTTCTGGCACTGCCGAGCTGGTCTGCAAGCTGAGGGAACGGCAGCTAACTCTCACTTCCTAAGTGCACCTGTTTTTTTTCTCCTAACATACAAATGGAATGTTTGAAACTTGACAGGATTGTAATAAGTTCCTGTAGAGAGACTGAGGCTTGCAGAGTCAGGGTTTAGGGGAAATTTTGGAAAGTTGGTTATATTTTCATTAAAGTAGGAGACATTGTCAGATGGTACTAAAGAAAGTGTGAAAACCTCATGAAATGGATGGACAATAATTCGAAATCGTTGATGTGGGTAAGAAGGGAAGTTGTAAAAACTTAGCACTAACTTCGTTCTTGTTTTTCTGTAACAACTATGAACTGACACATGAATCTTTATTTCTTTAACACTCTGAAGCTCTACGCTCGGTGAGGCCCCAAAAGAACATGTTGAATGTATTCCTGCTTCCAAATCTCCCTTATTTTGGTTTGGTGATGCAGACACGGCTTTGGAGCTGTCTGTTTTTAATGTACATGAGACCAAACCACGGACAGCCATTCCTGGAGACGACACAGTGGAGATAAGACAGAAGATGCTAATGGGGCCTCTACCTTGAGTTTAGGAAATGGACTTGGTTTAAATTATATTTATATCATAACTTAAATAAAAAGATTGAGGTGTTTTTAGTAGTTCCAAGTTTATAGGACAAAAGTGTGTATGTTACAATTAGGTCTTGAAGAAGAGCTCACAGAGAAAACTACCAAATATCTGACGGTTAAGCCTATGAAGCAGCTACTAGCACAATAAAATCTGAAGTAAAATGAGACATGATGTATCAACTAGATGCATCTGTGTCCTTCTTTCAACCATCTGGAGATTTCTTGAGTTCTTCATTTTTTGGCAAAAAAAAAAAAAGAGAGAAAATGTGAAAACTTTTTCTTGCCTACTAGTGGCTCTCTTGCAATATTTCCGTAGGAGTCCAATTACTAGTTAAGACACAGCTGTTGGACCATCCATGGTCCACAGTCCTAGTCCATGAACCATCAATAGCTGACTGATCAAGTTTAATTCTTTCATTGCTTGAGAAGAAAGGAATCAAAGGGCTATTTTTGGTCAGCGAAAGGTAGAGTTAAAATCAAATTAAGAGAGAGAATAGAGATCACTGCCAGGCCTGACAGGCAAAGCCTGCTTTTCCTTGTTATAGCATCCGTGAGTAGTCAGAACCTTGTTCATGGAACTCGGACCTCCTCATATCGTCCTGCTGGGCTGAGTAAAACTCCCACTCTGTCTCTACCTGCTTAAGGCCTCTCTCAAAGGACGCGGAGCGTGTCCTGCACACCGTCTACAGACAGTGCTTCCTACAAAACACAGACTTGTTTTGTAACCTTTTCTCATGTTGATTCAGATCTGCTCACTGATTTGAAAGTTGATTATGAGCTTGTATTTCACTGTATTTCTTATGCTTTGTTCTTTTAAGCGAACCCTTAAAATTGTGTTGTTTTGTGTACACAGGTGAGATTTGGGGGAAAAAAAACCATCTTGTGACTTTTTGCTCAAAATGTGGCCTAAATATCCATTGGCATGTCTAGATAAACAATTAAAAATAAAGATAATTTCTTAAGAATATAACAATATGAAAATATCCTGATTCTCACCAGGTAACATGTTACCAGCCAACCAATGGGATTCAACAGAAAGGAGCCATTGCTCAGGAGAGAAAGCTTCAAGGGAAAGAGCACAGATGCAGATGTGGCCCCTGTGACTCATGCCTCCAGGGGCTGCAGAAATAGCCAGGTCCTTGAAGGCGCATATCCAGCTAGTCCCAAGTTAGGGAAAGAGGGCCACCATTCAGCTCTGCATTTCCCCTGAGTCCTGATGTTTTTCTGAGTCAATTTGTCAAACTCATACGTGAAGGGGAATGAGGTACAATGTTTTCGGTTGTGAAAACATGGCAGACTCAATTCAGGAATTACGTGTTCAAAACACGGTTTTGCATTTCAGGATTAGAAGCCACCAAGAACAATAGACTAGTTCAGGCAGGACAACTGAGTGTCCTAAATCCATCTGGAAATAAAGGAGAAAAAAAGACCCATGTTTCCCAGCAACGGCCTTGTATCTTCACATATTCTCCTCATATCCACTTGATTAAGATTCGTATTCAGGATGTCACTAATTCCTTAATGTCTCCCCAATGTCTGAATACAAAGCTGCTTTTTCATTTGTGGGCATGCTATATCATAAACTCACAATCAAAAGGGAGACCCCAGTGGTACTCCAAGTAAAGGTCAGACGTGACTTTCAAATGTACCCGGGAACCTAGCTGAAACGTTGTCACACAGGCCAAGCCCATGGGAGCAGTAGAATTTCAATCCAACAAATATTGGTTGAGGATCTACTATATACCAGAGGTTGTGCTAGATACTTGGGATATAAAAAGACCCAGGCCCTCGCAACCCATCATCCATTCATTTTAGTGCTTCTAATTCATCCTCTGGGATGAGAAAATTAGTCCTTAAAATATTGAAGTATTGTTACTTAAAATAAAAAAATAAAGTTACTTACAAAAAAAAAAAAAAGACCCAGGCCCTCTGGCAGCACTCAGACTTGTGTCAGAGACTGGCGTTCCCAGCGAACACTTCCAAGAGAATTCGTGAGAACATCTGTGAGGACTCAGATGCAGGTAAAGCTCCCTCCTGGGGTACAACCTGATGGAAAGCAGATAAGCTTCAGAGACAGAAGTGGGTCCCAATCTTGATTCTGTCACTAACTAACTCTGTGGCTTCAGGGAAGTTACCAAATCTCTATAAAATTATGTCTAGACAACATCTTTTACAGTATTGTTGTGGCAATTAGAAGAGATTGCAGACGGAAAGCACCAAGCAACTGTCTGGGACATGGCCAGGCATTCTGTAGGTGCAAGCTCTCTCCTCTTAAATTACAAGAAGCTTGGCAAACAGCCCTTCACACATGGGTAAGAATGGGAAGAATATATGGGGAAAAATATAGTAAAAAATGCTGGTGATTTTACGTTTGGAAGTCAAACTCATTTTTACCTTTTTTTTAACGGATGGGTTAATTTACGTACTTATTTATTGGCAAGGTTGGGTAAAAAGATTACCCCTTCAATCCATTGCTCCCATGAAATCTCTGCCTCAGCTATAGCCTACTTTTCTCTTCAGTCTCTATATTCTAGAGTGGAAGATAGGATATCTGTTGTTTGCAGTTCTGTCAGAAATTTCTGTGAAGGAAATAGCACTTAAAAACAAAATGAGAGTCATTTATCACCCTCATTCTGGCTGGTGATGGCTCTGGCCCTCTCTGGTCCTCAGTGTCAGGCCCTGAAAGGTGGGCTGGGCTTTCACAGGCTCTGCAGGAGCAGGCGTGGGTTGGTGCCTCCAGGATGCCGTGGTTTCACACTGCTCACACATTTACACACATGTTCTCAGCTAGTGCCTGCTGTGTGTCCTAGGCAGGTCAGAAAGCAGCGGCCCCCCTTAAGCTCCTGTCACAGAAGGGAGAAGGCCCAGTCCTGCCTCCATGGGAATGTGATGGACAGACTTGAGTAATGACTAAACAAGGAGCTTTTCACTATGAAACAGTCCATGGTGGGCTTCTTTCTTTTTTTTTTTCAGTTAAGCCAGAGAGATTATTAGAAAATATTTAAGTTTTAGCTGATACAGTTTGAAGATGCATGATTGTCTTGCTTAGTCATCTAAGCAAAGATGTATCTTGGATTCAGTTGCCTGAAATGCTTTAAATTCTAGTATCACAAGTGCTGATTTAATCTTCAGTCATTTTTTCCCTTTTAAGGAAGCAGTGTGGTCAAGCTTAAAAAGTGTGGGCTTTGGAGTAAGACAGACCAGAATTCAAATCCCTCATTATCACTTGCTGTTTAACCCTACTCAGTTAATTTAATCTCTCTGAGCCTCCATTTCCTCATGTATAACATGGGAGTAACACCCACGTGGTTTTGAGGCCAACATTAGGGACAGACATGAAACATACAGCATAGTTTTTAGCAGAAACGGGATACTCAACAAATGTAAATTCCTCCATCATCTAAAGAAAAAAGATCTATAACATGGGAATTGGGATTACATCTTTTACTTTCTCTGGGTTGCACAATTTTTGTGCAAAAGAAAACACAAGGCCCATTAATAGACTGAGCATGATTATATCTACAGGTGGCCAGCTTGATCATAAAATAATCCTCATAATATGGGCAAAAGACTGTAAGAAATGATTACAGAAAGAAGACAGTGCTCCTAGAGTACTAAGGATACACTGATAAGACCAAGAATAAATAAAGGACTGTCTTTTCTGATTTTAAAGTAAATACTCCTTAGCCCAGCTGAGAAAACCAGTCTGTTTTATCTAAGCCTTTCCTAGAGTTGATGATAATACAACCCTGGCTAGAGAGAAGTGTGAGTTACATAAAACTTAATAACCTGTCAGGTTTTCATGAATTCCACTCATATCCTACAAATCCTGTCCATAGAGGTTTCCAGAGGCCATTCCCCTAGTAACTTCATCAGATCCTTTCTGGCCACTGACAGCAGAGGCAGAGAAGTCCAGGGTAGTCTCTGCAAATAGATGACCCTAAAATAGATTCTGCTGTTCTGAACTAACATTTTCAAAATTGCTTAACAATGTGTGTGCCAAAAGATGTTTGTTATATATTCCCTGAAAAAAAAAAAAATGGCTTCATAGCCAAATAATTTGGAGGAACAATGGATTAAAAGCACAGTTTTCTCTTCCTCATGCTTTTCAGAGCCCCCTATATGCCAGTGAGCGTCTCCAACAAGAAGGTATGGACGACTTCATTTGCTTGGGTCTAATTTTGGTTTCATATCGTGAAGCCTCCCTCAACAACACCAACTCAGAAGGATCTTCCCATTTCTCACGAAATCTCCCCATTCAGCATTGTGAGTGA